CATGAAATTCTAAGGGAAGTATTAAGACTCTGTAGTGTAGTGCTCTCATCTGGCTCAAGAAGAAAAATTATTTTGTAAATCTAAATTCTGTCTTTGATCTTTTGCTTGATTCTTAGAATACAATTTTGCATCCTTGTTTTTTCTCCGTATAGCACTACCCTGTATTCCTTAGACATATAGATGTATGGGTGCCATACCATTTTATTATCCATAAAGCACTACTCTCTAGGTGGAAGTGTAATAATCTAATCATTAAATTAGTTATGTTGTTGGCTACTTGCTTGCTAACAGTAGGCAGTGAAATAATTCTTTTAAGTTGAAGTTAGTAGCTTTCTGTAAAATAATTATTGTAGTGTAAGTAGCCCACAATCACTAAGTAAATTCTAGAGACATTATCATGGCAAGATAATAATTTCCCATATTAAGATGGCAATGAACCCACTAAATTTTGATATCTAATGTTAGCCAGTGTCATGTTCTTTTCTTCTGGAGAAGTCTTCTGAGTACCCAGGTACATGTGGAAGGAATATTTCTAAGTAGCATATTGCATTTGAGGTATATATGTTTTAAGATGGGTTCTGCTTCTTCTACTGGAGGAAGTATTGTGAAGGTAGATAGCCTTTGGATAAAGAAAAAGAGAAAAATTCGTACATACCTACCTAACTGTTCTCTTTTTCCAAGCAATATGACTTAGTGATCAGGAGAGAAGATGAGCCAGAAGAGGAATAGTTGTTGAATTCCACAAATTTGGTTTTATTGTGACAGGGCAAAATTTACTGTGCTTTATGAAGTAAATGATTGTACTGTTCTTTCAGACTGTGGTTAACATAATGTATGCTTGAAATGAAGTAGTTTACAGTCTAAGATCCCCACTCCCACAGTGAGAGGAAACTTAAAGAAGTGACCGCCAATCCCCGCCTGCCACACCTCCAACCCTTCCTGAAGTTTAAGCCTTGCTAAACCAGCTGGGAGATCTATACCTCCTAACAGGTCAACAGCTCAACAAACCCTAAGTAGAGTCATTTATGGTAAGAACAGGTAATTCCAAGTCCAAGGAGCATTAAGTGCTCCCAAGAGGGATGTGACAAGATACTGATTTTTTTCATACTACAATAACTTCCCATCCCAATGATTTCCCATTCTGCTGATGATCTCCTGTCCTCAATGCTGATTTCCCATCCCCATGATGTTTTCCCATCCCATGACATTTTCCCATCCAAAAATTTGTCACAGAAATTTGGCAACTGACCCATGCCAATCGAGGAGAGAAGGTGGGATGCAAAGTGTAGAATTACAAGAGGCATTATTTCATTGATATGCATGAGGTGTCCCATTCCAAGTGGGGGACCCCAAATGCACTTTTACACATGGTTCTTATTCCTTTCAAGCATTGAGGTCCAACACGATTTCACCAACCACTACTTAACTCGCATAGACACGCGGCTGTTTTGCAAAGCAGCTCTAATTCTATGGCGTCGTCATCCACCTGCTGCTTTCTAGATCTCGACGTTCCTGGAGTTGGTCTTGCTGCAGTTCCTTATGTATGATGCCAGATAAAGGGAGGGTTTCAGAGAGGTGTCAGAGGGGCTGGAATGCTGGGTAGCCCATGGGTATCCTTTCTTCATCAGGGTGGGGGCTGTCCATGTCCTCCTTTCAACGAGTCCTTTACTCATGCTGACTTAACCATGACTGTGCAGTATACAATGTGAGCTCTATGTATATCTATTTGTCTTAAGAAACTTGATATAATTCCATACGCTTATGACTAATTGGTATAATAGTTATGTATTACGAGATTTTTCGTAACGGAGCACCTGAGGTGTCCTGTTGTGTGGATCCCCGGGAGGTACTTGTGGGCTCGCAGAGGGGTGGGAGATGCAGGTACTGGGCATGATGGGTGATGGTAGCAGCATGGGGTGGGGATGCTGTTCCTGTGGATGCCAGTACCAGCCTGAGGTGGGGATGTTGGTGGTGGGGACGTCAGTAGCAGGATGTGTAGAGATAGCAGGGGGCTTGGACTAGGTGACATTTAAAGGTCCCTTCCAAACCAAACTGTCTATGATTCTATGATATGATCTGGTAGAAGGGAAGTTCAGACCTTTTTTTGTTTGTTTGTGGTGGGGGTTTTGTGTGGTTTGTTGCGTTTGTGTGTGTGTGTGGTGTTTTTTGTGTTTTTTCTTTTTTTTTTTTTCCTCCCCCTGGATTAATAACTAACGTGTCCATAGCAAAGGAGCTTCAAATCTTAGTGTTTCCTGAATTTGGATGTATACTGGGAAATCTATGGGAAAAGGGGTCCCTATGGGTTCTAGTCTGTGAAGGCAGACAAAAGTTGGAGTTGTCAGTGTGAAGCAGAATCAGTATTTAGATCTGCTGTGAAACATCTCCTTGCTTGTCATCTGAATCATAGCTTAGATCTTAGATACAAGCACAAGGATGAGATATCTGTTGTTTCATTTCTGTTTATGTGAGCTTTACATCTCTTTTGTCTACATTAGGACAATTACTCTTGCATATAAGTTTTCTTATGTACTTTTAGGTTTACCTAATCTGCATTACTAGGAATTTCCAGGCAAGTAAATATATTATTTGGTCATGCTTATGCCATTTTTTGCCCTGAAATTGGATACTGAATGTCTTGAAGGTCACAAGTCTTCCAGGATAGGTTGCACAGTGTAAAAGATAACAAAATTTTATCTCCATACATTGCATAGGCAAGTTTTAGAACTTGAGACAAAGTGGTCTGTATGAAAGAAATGTTGTCTTATGACTTCAGTAGCTGGAAAAGCTCTCCCACAGATGGATAGAGAAAAAGGGTGGACACCAGATCTGGGGGGGCACTGAAGAGGCACGAAGCAGGAGGCCTATAGAATATGGCTATAATTAAAAATGCAAGATTTTGTCGTGGTGTGCACTGTACTATGCTTTCAGAAGCAGATGTCTTTGGATCATTCGTAGTCCTTCCTGTATGACCATCACATAGGTATCAAACTGTAGGGTTTGAAAAGTGTTCACGCACAGATCAAGTGGTTGTCCTGAGAGACTACTGAATAAAGGTGCCAAAGCCCGTTGACAATTCTATTTTCAAGATGGGTATACCAATGCAGATTTAGTGTGTACAGTTTAGAAATACTTGGTAAACACTGCACTTGACTCTTGAAGCTAACTGGTGTCCAATTCTATTTTCAAGATGGGTATACCAATGCAGGTTTAGTGTGTACAGTTTAGAAATACTTGGCAAACACTGCACTTGACTCTTGAAGATAACTGGTGTCCGTTAAAATAAAGTAAATGGACAATTCAGCAATAATAAAGCAATTTATGGTACAACTGATAATGTACATTAAGCTTTGAGTGGATTCTCGCTGATAGCAATTGTGGCTGCCCTGTTCATTTAAATTTTGGGACAGTGAGAAAGCAATAAAGCATGAATCTATTCAGCTCTTTCTAGCATTGTCACACAATCAAATTGCTTGTGATGCTATGTTCTCAGTGCATATATAATTTTAATAAAACAAAAGATGTATCAAAAGCAAGGTATTAAATGAAAGACTTGTGCATGAATCTAACTTGGCTACTCCTTACTCCTATTCTTAAGATATCGTACTTGTATTGTTTGCATTTAGATTTAAAACATTGTCTGCTTTTCTAACTTACCATCTTTTATATCTTTTCTTATGTTGCATCTATTTTAGAACACACTGTTTTTTAGGAGGGATTGCTGCAGCTGTGCTTGATCACAAAAATCACAGTAAAGATTATAAAAAAAAATGCAAATCACAGAATTTCTAGTATAAATCTAAATGCAGTCTAAATCTCAGAAGAGAGGTAGGAATTATCAAATTAACAAATGCTTATAAGTTTGTCATGATAATTAGTTGACAGGTCAGGTGGTGGTTTCTAACTTTGTGTGCTAGCAGGACTGAACAATATTGAAAATATAAAACTCCATTTTAATTGAACTGTATATTAAAAAGGTGAGAAACTTTACTTTGAATACAGCTATTTCAATAGACGAGAACTAATTACGTTGCCTTATAGTAATTTCTGGAATCCAAATATTACTGTTTTTGAAAATTGCTTGTGGTTTGCACTATGCTATTTTAGATTATTGTGAAACTTTTATGTGGTACCTGCTAACAACAGGTCAACGTGTACCTGCAGTGAACCGCAGAAGGGTTGATGTGCTGCAGTGTTTTCTGTGCTAAGTCCAGAGACAAAATCTACTTCAGATACACTACTGGTGGTGCCAACTAAGTTTTTAAAAGTTAGTGCCATACTAGCCTTTCTAGTACCTGAAACGTGTTCTAATAGATATTCTCGATCCTTTCTGAGACTCTAAGATGGTCCAAAGACTTTTTAGAGAGTAATTTAAATCAGTTTCTTTAATGAAGCTTGAAACAATTTTGTTAATACAAAACCTTAAGTTTTCAGAGTGATTCTTTATCATTCCCCATAGGAAAAATGACATTTTGGTGTGCCGTTCTCTGTTCTTATGCAAGATGCTGTCATGCTGCAGGTTGCAGGGTCAGGGTTTGACAGGTACCCCCTAATTTTACCTTTCATACTGATGGCATTAATTGAAATGGCAAGCCTTGCATAGCAGCAACTAAACCTTTTCACGTGACTAATGTTCACTTATGACAGAATTTTACACAAGAGAAAACAGAGAAATGTTTTGTGGGAAACTGTGTTCTGTATTTTTGACTGTCTGGTACTGAATACAGTGTGGTTCAGCATCGGTCTTCATTTGCTGCTTATTATCTGATATTTAGATAGGTATTTTGGGCTTCCAGAATTTGAAGTGCTTCCCATAAAATAAAGACAAAATGTGAGGTATTGGCATTTTAAAGAGGAGATGTCAGGAGAATAGCTTCTACTCGTACATTTTCTTTAATACTAGATACATTTCCAAAACTGTGAAATGTTAACTTCAAAATAGATTTTGATATGTTGTATTTAAGGAAAGAAATTTACTGATTTCTTGCTTTTTCTTTCTACAGCTAGTTGATGTGGAAAAATGGGTATGTGATTCTGTCTTTTATTCACTTGATCCCAAATGTTTCATGCTGCCACTGAGTCTAACCTGTCTGTTTTGATACCCTCTGTGTTCATGACCCTTCAACTTGCATGGCTCAAAAAAAGAGGCGAATACATGGTCATGTAGGATCTGATCATTCCTGAATTGTCATACCAAATTTCGTGCTACCACAATGACTTTTCTCTCTTCTAATTTGATTGTAGAATTGTGTAATATAAACGTTTGATTGTTGCCTGTCAGTTTTGAGCCTTGCTGTCTAATGTTATAACTCCATGCTGTAACCCACCCTGTCTTTTCCAGTATAGACGCTGTAATCCTAAAATGCATGACAGTAAGATAATTAATACTGATAAATAACGTGTGATGCTGTATCTAGCTGCAAATAATGTATATATGAAATATTTAGTGGTGGAGAACAGCTGCTACAGAATAAAAAAAAAAATCATTCATAGATCTTAACAAATAAAGTCAAAGCACAGTCCTCTGGTGAATGTGTTGTTAAGGCCTTTCCTAATGTGTCTGTGTATACCATGCATATTTGTTTGGGCATCTGATACAACTCCCCTATATGGGACATATTTACGTATGTTTTTATCCAATGTAATCTCTAACATCTGCATATGTATAAGTTAGTGGTCGTAAAAGTGTGTGTAAAATTGTTTGTTCACATTTAAAATGTTAGAAGCCTCTCTGAAAGCTTGGACCATAATAGGCCTCCTTGATTTCTTAATACTTATCTCAGCTACACGTGAGCAGAAACAACCTCAGACGTCCTTCAGTATATGGCCAATAACATAGCTAGAGCACTGGTCTCACTTTATTTAAGCCTGACATTATGGAATTTTAATCTATGTTTATTGCATGGTTATAATAAGTAGTGACTCAAGTTATAGCTTGCTTGAGACTCCTGTAGGTAAGTACATTGTTCAAATGGTGGCTTAGGCTTTCCAACACTCTTTCTACTCAGGCATTCCCAACTATCTATGTCATGTGACATATACATGTAGACATTTATAATTATTAAACAGTAACTGTAGTTAAGTATTTATTTTAGCTAACTGTATCAGTATGACAGCATTATCCATATTCTGTGAATCTGGTATTTGTGACAACCAGCAAATTTTTATATGGATTGATTTGGAATGGTTTTAAGCCGTAATGATGGACAGGTTATCTTCTCATTTTGTCCACCTTTTTAATTACAAGTGAGAGGTCTTGGTTCTAAATCTTTAGATTCTGTGTTTTTATTCCTATGAAAAATTTTGCTATAAAGAGAAAAACAGCAATAAAAAAGCAGTTCAGTTCTACACAGGCACCTGGCCTCATACTTTGTGATGCAAGGAAAATTGAAAGCCAGGAGTTTATTGATTACACTCTGACATAGCTTGCTTTTGACTGAAGTATTCAGAGAATGTGTTCTTGGAAAATATAGTATTACCTGTATAAATACAAGTCAGATCTGTTGTTTGTTTGTTTTAAATTCAGAATTTAGTATCATCAAAATATTATTCTTTGGAAAGACTTCTTCACAGAAATGTGCCCTTAAACCATTTTAAAAAGAAATGGTTCCCATGACAGTAGAGCTAAATGTTTTGTTCCAAGTTATATCGGCTAAAGAGTTTTCCTAATAGACCAATTCTGTAATCCAGACAACTGCCTGTCGGACAGTGATGGAGTGGGTGCTGGCTTTTCTTCAAATATGAAGTTGTTCTCTCTCAGATGAGCCTCAGTTTGCCCTGTAAAGCATTTTCTTTAACCCACTCTATAATTCCAGAGTGTTTCCAGAGGTCTTACGGTGGACTGCAGATGTACATACTGAATTAATGCAGCAGAAGACTGGCTGTTGCACAGCTGCATTGTCACTGAGGTCAGACACCTCGTTCTCACGACATATTTCTTCATAAGCCATTTTCCAGTGTAGAACACACAACTTTAATGCAAGTTAAAGTGTTCAGTTATGTCTTTGTATCTGTGGACACCTTGAAGCCCAAGCTCAGAGCCTAAGTTAGACAATCTTCGTGTCAAATTAATGACCAAATTAGTAACTGAGCCTTGCTGCAAGCAGTCTCATACTCTTCAAAGGATAAGCTAAAGTCATCCACTTCTGAGCTGTTCCAGCCTGTAAAGTGTGCTAACAAAAATTTTTTGAAGGAATTACTCCCGTTCTGCTGTGCTGCTCCTGTTGAATGACTATCCTTCTTCTGGTAATTTTGTTCCAAAATCTTTGTTCTACTGTAAGGCAGGTGCTGGCAGTTGAAGCTAGGTAGGAGTTAAATGGGCTTAAGATAGTCCTTGAACCTTTGGCTTTTTCCTTTTGTCTCTCAGCAGGTGTGACTGAGTGTTTGTAGGTCTGCTTCAGTGCAGTGTCAAACAGATTAAAGACATCTTGCCAAACGTAAAAACTAGTGGAAGTAAGGCTTACCTTTTTCATCCCAGCACCCATTTCATATTTGAAAATGGCTTTTCTGCTTTTAATGAAATTACCAAGGGGAAAAACCCCAAAATTTGATCAGAGAGATTTACTAAATTTCAGCTGAAACCTGGAGGACACTGCGTATAGCTTATTTATAGGGAAAATAACAGTTATGACACAAGCCGAAATGGACTCTCATCTTTTTCTCTTTTCATATATTTATGAAATAAGGAAAGTATTTAAATTTCAAAGTGTTTGTTGTTGTGAATTAGCAACTATCGGTGTTTGCTTGCAAATCTGAGCTATCAAAATGGATGCTGTATACTTTAAAGGTTTGTTTTTTAAAGGACTTCTCATAAAAGTACCTGAAAGTCTTGACTTTCAAAACAAATGCTTAGCGCTGTAACAGAATTCACTGTAAGAAGTGAATTTTTTTACACATTTGCCTACATATGGTTGGTGAATTATTTTGAAAATTTGCATTAAGAGCCATCAAGGATGATTGTTTTCAAGACAGATTACTCTGAAGAGCTTTTTACCTGAAGGGAAACCCAGTGTATTGGTTCTTAGAGTGCAAGGGACAAGGACTTTCATCCTTACGCTGGCTAACGGCAAAGCTGTGCTAACTATAACATTGTAGGATTGTCTGCAACTTTTGAATAGACAGAGGAACCTCTTCTGCTGAAGGTAATGGTTAATCTTTTTCTCTTCCCCTCAAGTAGTTATTGCATTAGCTCAGTTTTATGCCACTAGTAAAATGATTTTCAGTTTCTTTGGAGAAAAGAAACTTGCAGAGTAACGAAACACACTTTAGACACTTCTCAAAAGAATTGCTTTCATTATAGAGACTTCTGGGTTGAAAAGAAGTGAATAATTTCTGGCTTTGAGGATACTGTGGACTGGATAAATACAACAAGAACAAGTGGATTTTGACTAGAGGAAACAAGCTAGGGTTGCTGTAGAGGCTGGAGTGAGATGCAAAACAAAGCTTCATCGAGATGAATGGTTGCAGTAACGCGTCTTCAGTGCCATTAAAGTAGTTAATTTCATGTCCATGCTTTATAATCAGTGTGATTTTCAATCATTAAATGAATTATCTAAGGACTTGAATTTTTTTGAGAATTTTTTTTTCATACTGAGTTACTTTATTTAAATATAGATTTATTTGTGAGATTACTGTGGTGGGAAAATACGCTAGTTGTGCACAAATATCTGATCCCCCAGTTTAAAGAATTTGCATTCAAATTTTAGATATAATGTAGACTGCAGAGGTGACTCAATATAGGGAGTAGTATCAGCAGTGTTAACATAGGATCACTCAGTTATTCTTATACAGATCTTGAGGGGAAGATGGGAGGACGTAGCACTGTATGATGTTAAAATGAACAGGCGTATCAAAATGGAGTGGCTATGGAAATACTGCTTAAAATGCCACACCTATGGCTATGGTTTCAACCACATCTGCAGTTCCATCCTTAGCGTACTGTATGCTGTAGAGGATACTAATTGCAGCCCAACTCTCACATCATTAAGAGAAAGTAATACAAACATTTTCTAAGTATGCTTTTTCTTTCTGGAAGAAATCTATGTGCAAATCTGACTGAAACTTGTTTTCATAGAATAGTAGCATTTCCAACTAAATACTAGGATTTCTTTGGTATTTCTCCTTCAGTCCATATTATAGATCTGAGAACTTACACGGAACACAGCTTGATCAACAGTAATTACTGTGAGTTGCAGCAAACTGGCTACTTTCAATTTACTTTTTTCAATACTTCTTGATTACATTAGTAAAGGTCTGATACTTCTATGTAAGCAAATACAATACTACAAGAATAGTATGAAAGATATAATCAGAATACAATATCTTAAATTAAAAGGATTTAAACAGTAATCTTGGAAACCTTGCTATTCAGAAATTCCAAATAAAATAGCATTACTATCTTGCTCATTTCATCTAGCCAGAAAACCTAAGAATTAAGGTGGAATAGTAAGTTAGAAAGTGTTTGAACAGTCATAGTAAGTGATACAGAACCCAAAAGCTGTCCAAGGAGCCAAATACTGTAATAGCTCCGAACACTTGTAGTTATTTATATTAAAAACACATCCTTAGTTTCCTCAGATAAAGCTTCAATAGGTTTTAAAATTTACTTATTTATTTATTTAGAGAGAGAGCAGTTAGGATGATGGATAAAATGATGAGTGTTATGTGCCTCAAATACAATAACTTTAAATCCTGCAAAGATATTTTTCTTTTTTTTTCTCTCCCCTTTCCCCTCTCCCCTTTTCTCTTTTCTTTTTTTTTTTAAATTTATTTTTTTAAGTCATGCTCCAATCCATACAGGTAATATAGTTGCTGAGTGCTGAGTTCCTCCACAAGGATGACATGTGTGTGACACTAAGCGCTCGCATAGGCTTTTGTCTCCAAAAGATCAGATAGCGTATGCAGGTGAAGACTTAAATCAGTGTTGTTGGTTACATTCAATTACCAGTCCTACCTCTCAGGATAACTTTTGAGAATTTTGGTCTAGAGAAACAGGTGCATGTAAAACTCACAGCACATTCCGATTTCATGAACAAGTGAATTCTAAAGGTGAAATGGTGTCTTTGATACATTTAGTCATTAAATTTACATTGATTTCAGTAGGACAAAATTTGAGAGACGCACTTACTTGTAGTCCAGAAGAACATCAGAATTCCAGTTATTACCTTGCTTCTGGCTTCTGAATGCACAGTGGAGAACCTCGGGTGGATTCTTGGAATTTCAGTGTCTGATACAATATAGGTGTTCTGTGCTTGGTTCCTAACTGGTCAGCTCCTCAGATACAGAAGGTGCTTTAGGTGTTCATGCTGTAGGCAGGGTAGGGTTAGCAAGTTATTTAGACTTCTAATTGTAGTCAAGGCAGAGAATACAACACTTCTAGTGTGTAGTTGGTCCCATCCTACAGAAAATGTCAGCTTAATAAATCAGATGAATCGCATTCTAGAAATGACTGTCTCTTCCTCGGCTGTAAAATAAGTCTGCACAACGAGCTGAAATGTACATAGTGCAGATAAATCTCATCCTTAATAACTCTTAAGACTAAGCTTGTTTTTAATAGTGTTTCATACTGGATATTGCATACATCTGTATGGCTTGTTAGTGTGTAGAATGTCAAATTTCAAATGTAAACGTGACCAAGCTCTATCATCATCAGTGCAGCTCAACTGATGGAGTAGGAGCTTTGTCTATAACTAAAATAAGACATCATCACAATTTGATTTCTTCTTTTACTTTTAGCTGAGTTAGTGTTGAAGTCCACAACAATTATTTGTGGTACTTAGTGACTGTATCTGTCTGTCTTTTTATCAGTTTAATGCTTTGGTGTTAGTGTTTGGCAAGCAGTAACTTTCAAGAGCGAGGGATGTTAGAATGGCATTAAGAACAGACCTATAACCTGAACTTTCTCTCTGTTTTATTTTCAAATATATATTCTGAATTGCTATTAGTCCAGAAACTCATGTGCACTGTTGTTGTGAGGCACACAGAGTAAGTGTGAAGGAGCAGAAAGCTCTGCCCTCTGCAGAGGACGAGTTGGAGAAATTTCTTGTGTAACAGCCTTCTGCCACCTGAAGTGCATAATTTCTGTTGTTTTGCTTCAGGGTTTTTTGTTTGTTTGTTTTCCAAGCTGGAAGTGAATGTTTTTTAAAGTAAGCATTCTCCTTTAGCTAAGAAGGGATTTGATCTAAAACTGTTGGAGAACGTTCTTGCAGAAGGGTGTGACAGGAGTACCTGGAAGCCTCTTCCCCATCCATTTGCTGGTAGCTGGGCAGCTGAGGCCGTCACAGTTCATGGCAGGTAACTTCTCAGGCTTGGCCTGAAGTTTCAGAGGGGCATCCTCTTCACTCATGGACATAACATGCATTTAAGTGTTTACCATGAAGAGAAAGCATTTTACAAGAAATAAGAGTGTTTCTTCCCCTGGTGGTTTTGAAGCAATAGGTGGATGTATGTGTTCAGACTTCCCTCACCCACTATTGTCTGTCAGGTTTTCTAGCTTGAGCGAGATGGTTCATGGCACTTTCTGTCTCTAAGAATGACATGTAGATCATCTTCAAAATTATTAAGGAACCAGAGTAACTCTAAAGAACATGATATGACAGATGCAAACAGATGACAGTTCTTTCTCTCTCATTTGTTAGAATTAATTTAATATGTCAACTGAAGAGAATAAATTGTTAAATCTGATCTTCCAAAAAATCCAGCACAAGAAGCTGCTGTATCATTTTAGTAATCAAGGGAAGAGATAAACTATTCATTTTAATTTGAAGGTGGTTAAAGGATTACAGTCAAGCAGTTAAAATAAATTATCAAAAAGGAGAACCAGAAGGTTTCACAAAAGGACTGTTGTTTAATGTGTTTAATTCCACTTGCAATATGGAAAGAGCAGTGGGGTTGCATAGTTCTCAGAATAAAATTTCATAGATGAATGACAGAGGGAAGAGACTGAGGTCTTTGATGGATCTAATCTCCTTGATAAACCGACAGCATGATGGCAAATGAAATTCAGCATTGAGAAATATAGGAAATGTTATGTTAGAATTAATCATGTAATTAACGGATTTCTATGTTAGTGAATCGACACCCCCTCCCCCCGGCCCCGTAAACAGCTCAGCAAAGACTGCTGGTTGGTGTCTGGAGCCACCCAGTAAAAGCAAACAAAATACTGGGGTGACAGGGAATGGGACGGATAATAATGCCAAGATGATCATACTGTGTTTTAAACCCTTGGTTTATGGGGATGGCGGACAGGTTGCATGATCTTTAGTTTTGGTCAATTTGTTTCCAAATGTCTAACTACGAAATAGACCTAGCAGACTTTTAAGGAGAGAAGTCTGTGAATGTTTTAAGATCATTAGCTTATACTTTAAAAAAATCCAAAACCTAGAACATCTTGTACATCTTTGAGAACAGATACTTCTGTTTTAAAAATGTGTATGAAATGAAAGCACCCGGTCCTGCTTGGAAGCTCTCCAGTTAGACTCTCTTTTCATGTGGGATAGAGATTTGCTGCCAAACTTCAGTCCTCAGCTTCAAACTATGTAATATCAAAACATGAACTGATGAGGTCAAAAATAGGAAAAGGTGGCCATAGAACTCTCACAAAGAAAACCACATCCCTGCGTGTAACATAACATATCACTCTCCTTTTATTCTTGAGCACCTCCATGAAAATTAACCTAAACATTTCCATAATCCTCTGACATCAGTCATGTGGCACTGAATTCTTTTTAACCACTGCATGAAGTATTAGTAACATTTTAATTTTCTTAATTTGTTGTGCATCTATATATGATATGTTACTACAATAGTGGTATTGCTCTCCAGCACTACACTTTGAATGCAGGACTTTACAACTCTCATTGTACTTAGAAACTCTCTGCAGAGCAAGTTGTTTAAGATCAGGCATGGTACCTGTTTTACCTGTACTGTGTTTTATTTTTAAGTAATGTAAGTATTTAAAGTAAAAAAAAAAAATTGAGAAAACTATTGCATAAAAAATGATGAAGCCTTGTTCTGAGCAGCTGTTTTGCTTTCTAGCATGAGCTATAATTATGCTAATTGCAATGATAAATGTTCCTTTTAAATGTGGTCTGTAGTTCTGTGTATCCCACTCACTTTTTCAGGGAAAACAAATCCCATTTTTAAGCACCTGAAAGCAAATATTCATTTCACATTTTCTCTTTTTGTCCCCTTCTCATGGCTCTACAGAAATTTATGATGAAGGTAAGCAAGTTAAACATTTAGTATTATACTTTCTGTGAATTCCTACAATTTAATTTAATTCATTCTTTTTCTTTATTTTTAACATCAGCATCAAACTTGCCTTCACTAAAATAGCACATACAGAACTTGGTGAATTTGGTTTTAGAAACCACAGTGACTCTAGTTTGCACTCGGGTCATGGTTTATTTAGGTCATGAAGGACCAAAGGCAGGCACTTTTGTGGAAAGAGGACTCTGGACCGGCTGCAATAACCCTCCATTCATCCATACTCTTTCGGTGAGAATGCAACACTATCTGGTAAATGAGAAATCTTGAGACAAAGAACAAATAACAGAAGTCCCGGTAAAACATTTGGGCATTTTGGAGAGTGGGGACAGCACACTGTTTCTTCCGTTGCAAGAATGGTGTTGTGTCTCAGTGGGGTGAGTGGGGAGCCCCGGGGCTGGGGATCACTGGCCCTTCACTGCCTCGGGTCAGTAAGCAGGTGCAGGAGCTCTACCTCAGTGCTTGATGACAAGGCACTTTGTGAACCTCCAAACATTTTTAATTACTGACATTTGAATGATTGGCTGTGATTTTAGATGTGTTGGTTATCCATTTTCTACTTCTTACTTGAATTATCAACGTCTACTCCCAATTCATCTTCTAAAATTACTTGTTTACCGATTTCATCCCCTGAGAGTTTGCTGTCCTATGGTATGATCTTGCTTCATCGTCAGTCTCCAAAAGGGGGGAATTCTGGGCTAGATAAGCGGTGCTATTTTAAGGGCTGGATCTAATGATGTCAGAGGAATTTTCTTAGCACGACTCCTGTGCTAATCCATCTTTTCTTCCCACTTGGCTGTCTGTCGTACTCTTTATCTCTGAGTTTCTTTCTCAAGTGACAAGGATGATTCATGTTCCTTGTATCGTACAGCAACAGAAAAAGCTTAGGCACAATCCTTAATCTGTGAAAAATGCCTCCCTCCTTCACTTATTTAGCTCTAAAATAACCAGGAAGATTTTTAGTAATTCCTTCTATCTCCTGTGCAGTGAAGGAGGAGGAGTACGGGGGAAGAGGAATCTTCACTAGGCTAAGAGAGAAATCGATAAGTTTTATCATCTTGGGCATTTTTTTCCAAACCGCTGGAAGTGCTTGAAAGTAGGAGTTTGTAATGGAAGTATTGCCTCAGCCGTAAATATAAATGTTTGTTTTGCATAAAAGGCTGGAGGCAGATGATCAATATTATTTATTTTGTATTTATTTTCACTGCTGTATCTGCTTTTCATCGATGTGAAGTGTCTCATTGCTGGGAAAGTGATAACAGAAATGTAGTGTTGGAAGAATTAATCATGAGGCATATTTGAAGTGTTTCTAATTATATGGCTGTTTATTCTGCCTTACGACAGGTCAATATTAGCAAAATTGGGATCATTTAGCATGGTGCTGGCACAAATGTTTATCATCATTACCAATTATTTCAATCTTTTTAAAGATAGTAAAATATCTCTGTGTTATTAACTGAATAAGACATGCTCATGATTTTTATTGGCCAGTTGATTTATTCAGGTTCAGATTTTTATGTGATGTTTATATAAAGCGTAATTACACATTGTAATGCAGCTTTTAAAGCAAGACATCCTTAGGAAACCTGTAGTTTAACTAAACTCTTTTTTTTTCTATTCTTTGTGTTGGCACGACACATAAAATAGGATGTGACTGATGATCAGGTCAATGAAAGAAGATTGTTTTGTTTCTTTTTTCTGTTTTTTGTCTTTTTTTTTTTTTGTCACAGTGGCCATCATTATCTAAGAGTAGGTACCAGCAGAGTCATCAGTCATATTAATCTCCATACCTGGATTTTTGCAGCACTTACTGTTTTGTAGTGAATTCCATGAAAAGTCAATCAACTAAGTAGTGATTTAAATTAAGGTGTAAAAACTAGAATATGTATAGCATATATAGTGTGTTGATTGATACATTCAACTTCCTGTTTGTTCCTCCATTGTAGCATGCATGGTATATAGGCTACAGTGAGACAAATGAAGAGGTTTTAGACTGGTTTGAATTCACCCTTTGGTGTTGCTGGTATGTGATATGAGCGGAGTGAAGGAATATATTACCGCAGTGCCACATGTCAGTGAGTTGATTTGCTTTCCCTCTTTAAATTCTAAGCAACTAATTGCTGTGGGTTTGGTGCCAACCACTGGAAACGGCAGCCCAAGAGCACTTTAATTGCAGAAAGGTCTCATTAGCATTTTTGGGTTTTGGTAGAAGAATTCAAGGCTTCTGGGCCTGGATGCTGTTTCTTTGGAAAGGAAATTCTGTCTTTTTTTTTTGTCAAGATTTTTAAAGAAAATGGATACTTCTATGAGCAGGAACAATATATAAAACTCCTTGGCTCACACTCTGCAGTTTTGTTTGTAGTCTTTACTGCTTGCAGCATTTTCAAGTTCTGCAGTGCTGCTGGCGATGTTGCTATTCCAAGTGTGAACTGTTTAGTTTTGCCTGACTAATCTTGTCTCACAAGCCTTCTAGCTCTGTTCCTTCACAACTTCACAAGTTCTGTAGTGACTCAGCCTGTTTCCACACATTCAGTTTTCACCACTGCTGTGGGTTTTCTGGACTATTTGGCTGACGTTTGTCCCACAACACTGAAGTGCCTGACTTAGAGCCATGGATATCCTAAACTCTCTGTGTAACCACAAGCAGAAGTATAGGTACCATATAGGAAGGGTGGCTGTCACTAAGATGGAGCCAGTCTCTTTTCAGTAGTGCACAGTGATAGGACGAGGGGCAATGGGCACAAACTGCAGCACAGGAAGTTCCAGCTCGCCATGAGGAAAAACTTCCTTACTGTGAGGGTGACGGAGCACTGGAACAGGCTGCCCAGAGAGGTTGTGGAGTCTCCTTCTCTGGAGACCTTCAAAACTTGACTGGACGCGGTCCTGTGCAGCCTGCCCTCGGTGATCCTGCCTTGGCAGGGGGTTGGACCAGATGATCTTCAGAGGTCCCTTCCAACCTACCATTCTGTGATTCTGTGATCATCAAAGAGTTGCTTAGACTTTAGATGGGCTGAATTACTGTCCAAAAGTGCCTTTTTCTCTCCACTGGCTTGGTTGCCTTAGGCTAAATTAATCTGAGTTTGTGTTTTGTCATTAAGAAATTCTTTTAGCTTTTCATAAGCTGTTACTGACCATGCTGGTATTAAGAGAATGAGCCTTCCTGTGTTTTCCAGCTGGCTGTTGCCTAGTACTAGAAGGAAGCTCTCATTAGTCATCTGAAGTTGTGTTCAGTGTGAAAAAATTTAGACAGTGATATAATTGTGGGGAGTAAGAGGTCTCATCAAACACGTACCTGTGGCGGTCTCAGCTTATAGGTCAGCTTACAGGATTGCATCATCACTGCTGTTTTAGGATAAATACTGGCCTCCATCAGCACTGGTGTAGAACAGATTTAAAAATGAAAAAATTAAAAGAATTAAAAATAATGAAATGAATAGATGAGTAGTTTTTACATTGCTATGGAAACATGACTTTGAGCATCTTCTCCTTTACAGGAGAAGGTTGTAGCATCATGCAAATATTTACGTGTAGAATCATAGTGAGATCGTTTTAGACTGTGGGGCATCCTTCCCTCCTTTTCCTCTCAGTTCCTCGTAGTCTTTTTCCACTTTCTTTCCCATCATTGCTAATTCTGCCATCATCGAGTTTTCCTTCTCCTGAGTGAGGACTCAAAAGCTTTCAAGATCTACATTTATTCTACATCCTTTCAGTACTTTTCATTCTATCTTGCTGTTGTGGTTTAGCCCCAGCTGGCAGCCAAGCCCCACGCAGCCAC